GGGACCCCTGCAAGCATAGTTTTCCTCTCTCTGTGAAGGGGAGATTTCATGTTGCCCCTTGCCCCTAATGGTTAGGGTATAGGGTTGGGGCCGCCAGTGGGGGTCTGGCTAACACAAAGACCGAGACCTGCCAGTAGCTGTGCCTCCCTTTCTCATTGTCCCCCACCCTTCATCAAGTAGCAGCAGAGGCTATGGCCAACACTCTCCCACACACCACACACAACCCACTCGCGCTCACACTCACACCCGTGTTGGTTTACGGCAACTAACGATTGGATTTTATTTATTTATTTTTTTTTATTTTTTTTTTGAAGTTCCCATCCCAGATCCAAGACGGGAGGTCCCTAGATATTTGGTTATCTAGGGACCTGCACTGGCCAGACACTAACCTCCACGACTATTCGAATGCTAGAAAGGGGGTGTTGTATTCGGGTTCGTAGTTCCCTTATTTCCGAAAACTTTCAACAGGGACAGGGGCACACTGAACAGATGGATGATATCGAAAATTTACTCGCTGGCACTTAACGGCTATGGTTTCTTTTTTTCCTTTTTTTTTTTTTTTCTTTTCTTTTTTTGGGGGACAAATGCTCCAATCTATTCGTGGGGAGCAACACGTGCTGGGAACCGGGCCCAGCGTCCCATATAGAATTATACCAAAGATTTGAAATACCAGGGCCATTACCTGGCTTCGGCTAAGAACAATCTGAGAACTATGAAAAAGATTCTAGAAAATTTAGGAAAAACATGGATAACTCACTTAACGGCTATCCGGTAGGGGCATGCTGCAAATTTGGAACCGGTACTGGTAGGGGCATAATGAAAATATTTGAGGCAGAGGGGGGGGGGCGCGCGAATGTGCGTTAACGCTGCGACGTCAGCGGCGGTGGCGGCGCCCGGTCGTCGGTAGTCGCGGCTGTGTAGGTGCGGCGTGCGAGTCTCGGGTTCTTATCATTCCTACGTGGCACCTACCCTGCCAGGCACCATAGCGGTGTGAGGGCTAAGGCAACAGTGCCCTGGCGTAGCCTTGCCCTTGAGTGGGGAGGGAGTGCCTTGCACTCTTACGCCATGGCATCCTGGTAGCTCCCTACTCTACATCGGACATCTATAACGACCTACAGACCTATCAGGATCGAGATACCAGAGGAGCCGTCCTCCCCTTAAGCCTTTGCTCGAAAGGGGGGGCTCCTTTTTCAATACCCAATGGCCGGGCATGGGACACTCGGGACACGTCAGTCAATAAGATAGCATGGATGGCGGAGCGGCGCATCTGGACGCAGTGGGAGAGCGTGCGGCTGCGGTGGCAGCGCTTCGGCAGATCGTAGGGCCACAGTCAGTCTCGGTGGACTTATCTAAGACGCAAGACAGTCTGAGCAAGTCTCCGTTGACCTACCTTTCTTGTAAGGCGGCATACATAGTAGATATTCGGAATGTTTCATTGGTCTAGTATTGCTCGCTCGGCGTGATGTTTTTAAATTTCTGCACAATTGTGTTGGTATTTTGCAGACCGTTTTTGTGGTCGGTGACCTTCCCAGAGTATTCTGCCTGATATACCTACGGCAGTATCTGGATAATTCTAAGAAATTAGTTGGGTTAATGGTGTACGGCCATAGTTTGGTCTTGCAATTATTCTTCTTCGTAGATTAATATGTTAGAATCTGGATTGGCCGTTCTTCAATCGCTTATTTTTTGTAGACAATATTATTACATTTGGCTTAATAGTTGGTATGTGTTAAATTGGGTTAATCGAGTTGGTTTCTGGAATAGTTTTTAGGGTTAGTATGGGAATTTCCTTGGCCTTTTCATTTGTGGCTGTTTTTATTAGTATGGAATTTGGATGGGTTGGTGTTTAATTGTTTAACAAGTTTTTGGGAGAAGGAGGTATGGTGGCTTATGAATGGAAATGAAGATAATCTGGTGATAGTACTGGGATACCCGTGGAATTGCTAGTAGCGGCGCCACCTTGAGCAGTGAGAGTGTAACAGGCGGCGGTGGGAAAGTTACTGGAGGCACGAGAGAACCGGTGATGAGCAAACTTGAATTGTACTTGTTGTGTCCGCTAAACTATGAAGGACCAAGGGTGCGTGGTGGGAAACCCGTCATGGCAGCTCAGGCTCTTTGCAGGGTGTTGGAACAGAGTGGGTGAAAGGGTAGCTCGATACAGCAGCTAATGAGTGTGAGAACAAAGCGATCTGTACTATAGCTAGGGTGAAACCCAGGGAATTACTGATAGCGGCGCCATCTTGAGCAGTATGAGCCTATGAGGGTATCAAGTGGTGGTGGGAACGCTATTGGTTAGATGCTATGAGAGAACCGGTGAGGAGCAAACTTGAGCTGTACCCATTGTGTCCGCTAAAACTACGAAGGTCCAAGGGTGCGTGGTGGGAAACCCGTCATGGCAGATCAGGCTTCTTGCAGGGTAGTGGAATAGGGAGGGTAACAGGGTCACCYCTGCAGGYGTGATCAATTAACTGCTGTATGATTGTTCCTTTTTTGGGAGACAATATCACCACGTTTAGTTTGAAGTTGGTACGAGTTTGAGTTGAAATTTGGGACTATTTGGGATTATTTAGTTTGTTTTCGGAATAATTTTAGGGTTAAAACTGTAAAATTCCTTGTGAATTGCCTTGCGCGCTGGTAGGATGGAAATAGGTTACAGCAGCAGCGAAGATGGTGGCTCTGCTGCAGTAAGTCTTGTCGGAGTGAGGTAAAGAGGATGGATGGGGTTCTCTGAGGCGTTTCCTGAAGTCTTGCCTATTTTCTGGATTTTGCCGTAGTAATTTTTAATCTGGCTCCAGTTTTTCTTCGCCAAAGCCGGGTAATGGCCCCGGTACCCCAAACCTTCAAAATTGTCTTTCAGTTGCTTCTGGTGGTCTCGAGATGCTGTTATACTCATAAATCTGCGGTCAGAACGACGCTGGTTGGTGTTGGAAGTAGATGGTGGGATATCAAGCGTCCTACCAGTGAAGGGGCTAGCTGGTAGGATGGAAATAGGGTATAGCAGCAGCAGAGATGGTGGCTCTGCTGCAGTAAGTCTTGCCGGAGTGAGGTAATGAGGATGGATGGGGTTTTTTGAGACGTTTCCTGAAACTTTGCCTAGGGTTGAAGAAGGTTGGATATCACGCCTCCTACTAGTGAGGGGGCTAGCTGGTAGGATGGTAATAGGGTACAGCAGCAGCAGAGATGGTGGCTCTGCTGCAGTAAGACTTGCCGGAGTGAGG